GAGTCTGCCAGGTTGAAGAGCTGCCGCCCGTCATCCTGCAGGGATGCGCTGCCCTTCAACACCACGTCCCCTCCCCACCACCCCCCCCTCCCTTTGCCCCCCACCCACCGCCCGTCCCGCCTCGGCGTAGTCGATGCCCAGCGTGGACATGGCACGGATGATGGCCAGGATGGACTGCAGGATGTTCCCATAAATGACAGCTTTGAACTCCATGCATTCCTCAGGTGTGTATCCATCCTGGTGGATGATCCTGGGGGGGGGATGTTGGCATTAGCCCCCCCCCAGCCGTACCATGAGGCACTCCCTGCCTTCCCAGCACCGCCTCGTTCTGCTCTGGGGGCACCGGGCGGCAGGGAGACCCCAACCCCACAGCCCTCTGCATTGGGGGAAACAGCTGGCCTGCAAGGATGCAGCCCCACTCACTTCATCTGCTTCACGATGGTGCTCTTCCCCGACTCTCCAGCCCCTGTGGAAAGAGGGGGGGACACCTCAGCCAGGAGGGGACCCCCAGCCATGGGCACCACGGGGATTCCCATAGGGCTGGGTGCCCACCATGATGGTGTGGGGCTCCGATGCTGTAAGCAGCTTAGGGCAGCACAGGAAGCTGCTTAGAATTAGGGCGCTAATCGCCTTCACCCTGTGCCCCCTACCCCTCCCCAGCTCTGCCACCACTGCCACTTGCTGTCCCCCAGCCCTGTGCTGTCACCCCGCTGTGTTGTGGGGGTGGTCCCCCCTGTGCCCATCACGAGGCTTTGGGGATGCTGTGTCCCACCCCCCATGATGTGCCACAGGTGTCCCCGCTCCATTCCCTGTGCCCATGTTGTCCCTTTGGTCCCCAGCACCCATCCATGTGCCACCGAGGGCCAGCACTGGGGGACATCCAGCTCACCAGGAGGGGGTGGGGATGGAGATGGGATGGGACATGTATGAGAATGAAGATTGGGATGGGATGGAGCGGGGTGGGGATGGTGTGAGGATGAGGATGGGGATGGAATGAAGATGGGGATGCGGATGGGATGGGGGCTGTGTGTCCTCCTATGGGACCTCTAGGACACCCTTCTCCCCATGCACAGGGACACCTCCCTGCTCCCCATTACTTCTCCATGCCCATCCCCACCATCAGCGGGATCCCAGTGCCACACATGGGGTCATGGGAACAGTCGCCATACCCTTCCTGTTCCCAAGCATAAAGAATAAAGGCATAGGGACAATTTCATGTCCCCACAGGGTCCGCCCCCCCTCCACCCTACCGAGCAGCAGCAGCTTCACCGTCTTCGCCTCCTTATCCGCATCCTCCTGCAGCTTCTTCTCCAACTCCTTGGACCTCTTGGCCATCTCCTTGTCCTCGGCGCTTGCCCCGCTCCCCATCTCCTCGTCCTCCTCTGCCAAAGCTTCGAGCTCCTCCAGGTCCCCGCGCTCTTCCAGGTCTCCTCGGGGTGGGTGCACGCACCCCTGGGGGGCGGGCAGAGAAATACTTTTAGAGGGGGAACCCAAAAAGGCCTCACCGGAGCGCTGGGCTGGCTGCTTGCAGGCCGGCTGCCCCCCGTGCTCTCCCTTAATTCCCCATGGATAAACCTGATTTCTGGGGCCTGGAGGGATTTGGGGGGGCTTTTTTTATCACTCCCCACGTGACCCATGGAAATCCAATTAGCCCAAGATGGCAAAGATTAGGGGCTGGGGGGTGGGGGGGTAAGGTGGGAAGATGGGCGCAGGGCGTTACGTAAGGATGGGTGCCTGAAGCCCCACGGGAGATAGATGGAAAACCCCTGGGGACGTGGGGTGCCAGCACTGGGGGCTGTGGGGTTTGTATAGGGATGGGCTCAGCTCCACTTGTATCCATTCCCCCTCCTCCGTGGGGTTGTGGGGTTCCTCATGCTGGGAAATGGAGCTAATTAGCGCGAGCCGCTAATGAGCACCCATAATCTGCACTGCTGCGCGCCGCTCGCCTCCCGCTGCATAAGCTCTTTATGGGTGCTCAGCCTTCCTTCCCCCATCCCACTCCTCCCCCCCCCCC